TGCACTGGAGGGGCCCACGGGGCCCGGTGACTCACCCAGATAGTGCGCGGGTGCAGCGGGCCGACGTAAACTCTATTTTGGAAACAAGTCCGCCGAGCGCCAAACATGTTATCAGGATCAAGAGACGACTTGCCCGGGAATTCCGACTATTCAGCCTCTGACTTCTGCCGCCAGAAACTCCTTCAGAACCGTTCCTCTAATACAGAGAGAGCCCGAGCGCCTGCAATGAGAACTGCGCGTGGTGCCTCCAATGAGATTCAACCAACTGTCACTTACAATGGTCCGGAAAAATGACAGTTGGCTGAGTCTCATTGGCTGCACCACGCATCTTATCTAAGATACTCTTATCCCAGTGGTAGCCAAACGTCAGCCATCCAGCCGCTGGGAAACTACAAATCCCATCATGCCTATGCCTCTGGGAGTCACGCCTGTGGCTGTCAGAGTCTTGCAAGGCCTGTGGACTTGTAGCGGAGCCTGCGTTGTGTAAGTGCCAATTATACACAGGCTTCCAATCAGCATGCAGGCAATGCTGGGCTTTCTTATCAGCAAGCCCAGCATGCCTGGCAAACTGTAATGGGTATTTTCCTTTATCTCCTAGCATTAGGAAGATTGCTAAATACCATATCGAAGAGACACACCCGTTCTCCTGGCATTTGGGTCCATCTGGCTTAGTCAGGTATACACAGGCTTCCAATTGGCATGCAGGCAATGCTGGGCTTTCTAGTCAGCAAGCCCAGCATGCATGGCAAACTGTAACGGGTATTTTATTTATCTCCTATGGTTAGGAAGACCTCTGAATGACATAAAGAAGAAACACGCCCTTTCTCCCGGCATTGGGGTCCATTTGGCGTGGTCGTTTATATTCAGACTTCCAACTAGCTTGCGGGCAATGCTGGGCTTTCATGTCAGCAAGCCCAGAATGCCTGGCAAACTATAATTTTTTTATTTCCTTGGGTTAGGAAGACCACTGAATGGCATAAAGAAGGAACAAGCTCTTTCTCCTGGGCTCAGTCCGTTTGGCATAGTCAGTTATACACAGGCTTCCAACTTGCGGGCAACGCTGGGCCTTCTTGTCAGCAAGTCCAGCATGCATGGCAAACTGTAACGGGTATCATTTTTTAAAAATCTTCTCAGTTTAGGAAGACCATTGAATGACATAAAGAAGGGACGCGCCCTTTCTCCCAGCATTTGGGTACATCTGGCGTAGTCAGTTATACACGAGCTTCCAACTAGCATGCAGGCAATGCTGGACTTTCTTGCCAGCAAGCCCAGCATGCCTGGCAAACTGTAATAGGCATTTTTTTTTATCTCCTAGGGTTAGGAATACCTCTGAATGTCATACAGAAGGGACATGTCCTTTCTCCTGGCATTTAGGTCCATGCTTTCTACCAGCATGTGAGCAATGCTGGGCTTTCTTGTTAGCAAGCACAGAATGCCTGGCAAACTATCATTTTTTTTATCTCCTAGTGTTAGGAAGACCAGTGAATGACATAAAGAAAAGACACGCCCCTCCCGCTAGCATTGGGGTCTATTGGGCTTAGTCAGTTATACACAGGCCTCCAACTAGCATGCGGGCAATGCTTGACTTTCTTGTCAGCAAGCCCAGCATGCCTGGAAAACTGCAATGAACATTAGAAAAGATTGCATCGAAATAAAAAAAAGAACTGTTCCCTTTAAGACTCTTGTGCTGCCCGTCTTTCGGATTCCATCGTGGGAATGTCACCTTCCCCCGAGTCACTTCACGCCCCCGATAGGGGAATGCCGCCTACTTCCTGTCTGGCAGCCTCTGTTATATTACTGAGTTGCCGAACAGGTGGAGTCGGTTTCGCTTTCTGCAGTTTCATCGAAATCAGCCGCGTCTTTGGTTGGCCTAGTGACACCATACTGCGCGTGTCACCTCCAGCCCGGGCTCAGGGAGAGTTCAGTATGACAGGCGCGCACCTCGTCGTGCTGCTACTCCCTGCAGGGTGATACATAGACACAAACTGTCAATGTTCTGGTGACAACTGTCACTGGCAGAGAGAGCGGCACAACATCCAATACTCTATCATTGTTATCAATCTTCCAATGGGGATTTCCTTTCACTCATGAGAGAATTCCCCTCACTTCCTGTTGTGACACCAGCACAGGAAATGAAGGTTACTCTCCCCAGTGGTAACATAACATCCAATCCTAGAGGAGATCAGCTCTGTAAACTGCATGCAGGAAAATGTTCAGCTGGAGGACAAAAGGGCAATCTTCCATATCTAAATGGATTTCCTGTCAGTTGGCAGGGATTTTCTCTCACTTCCTGTTGTGTCAGCAGGACAGGAAATGAAACATACTCTCCCCACTGGTAGAAAAATAAAGGTGGGGGTAGGGTAATTTCCGACTCAACGGGAATAAAAGGGTGATCTTCCAATGGGGGCTGTCTACATGGATTTCCTCTCACTTCACATAGATTTACCCTCACTTCCTGTTGTGTCACATGAACAGGAAATGAAGGATACTCACCCTAGTAGTATGCAGACAGTAGAAAAAAAAAGGGGGGGGGGGGATTTCCTACTCAAAAGGAAAAAAGGGGCGATCTTTTTATATATGTGACTAATTGTTTTGTACTTTTTTTTCACTTAACTTTATTGCTATCACATAGTGGGTAACAAGCCCCCTATGCGATAGCCAATATACAGTGACCAGTCCCCTTTATAGCATCAGGGGTCTTTCAGATCCCTAATGTCACCTAGGGTCTGCTTCACCAGCTTCTCTCCGGCTTCTGGGAATGACAGCTGAACGTGGAACTTGGAGTTGTGGGCTTCACAACTCAAAGAATTAAGCAGACTGTTTTTCTTTATCCTCTGTATATGTTCTGCACATCTGCCTTGCAGGTGCACATGAAGCTGACTACAGTTTATAGCTATTACAGTGGCATGCTAGTTGTAAGACATATGGTTGAATTCTGTTAGTCACAGGTAGAACAATTGTGCCCTCAATGTTGCATCATAATGTTGAATCAGTTGGATCAGGAATCATTTGTGGAAAGAATGGTGGCAGACATGGTTAATTGTATACTCACTTCCCTATCAGTCTGCTATTAGTAACAATTGTATATGCAGTTGCAGATGAATTTCCTTGTTTCAGCATGGGTGCCTTTTTGACAACCAAAAAGCTTACAGTGCAACTGAAGCCTTAAGTTTTTTTGGTTTTGGCTAGAGTGGAGAGGGATAAGAATGCATGCTGGGTTTTTATTGCTGTCTGTATTACCTTTCTATTTGTCCTGGTGACTGTTATCACTGAAAGGGAAAGAAAATACAAAATTGTGGGTGGTCATCAGAACAGGAATAGATGGGCGATCTTCCAATGGGGGCTGTCTAAATGGATTTCCTGTCAGTACACAGAGATTTCCGCTCACTTCCTGTTGTGTCACCAGGACAGGAAATGAAGGATAATCACCCCAGTAGTACTCAGATAGAAAAAAAAGGAGGGGTTTATTTCCTACTCAACAGGAATAAAAGGATGATCTGTCTAAATGGATTACCTCTCACTTCACAGAGATTTCCCCTCACTTCCTGTTGTGTCACCAAGACAGGAAATGAAGGATAATCTCCCTAGCAGTATGATTACAGTTGCAAAAGTAAAAAAAATAACAGGGGTTCTATTTCCTACTCGGCAGGAATAAAAGGGCGATCTTCCAGTGGGGGCAGTCTATGGAGATTTATTTTCATTTCACAGAGATCTCCCCTCACTTCCTGTTGTGTCACCGGGACAGGAAATGAAGGAAAATCTCCTCAGTGGTACCCAGAGATCTGTCCCCATTGGAAGATTACCCTTTTTGTATTCCTGTCTGACTGTTTGCTGACTTCTAAGCTGCATGACGCCCTGTGCCACCCAGCTGCTTCCTCGGCAGCTTGGGTGTCAGGGACACGCCCCCCCCTGCAGTTCAGATTGCTGTTGTCATGACGGTGGGAGTGTCACAAGTGGGCATTACATGGCTGCAATTAACGTCTACTCTATA